GTTAAAAAAAAAAGAAGATTATTCATATTTCTTCTTAATCAGATTGACTTCAAGTTAACAAACTTATATTAGAATGAAAGATTTTTATATCGATATTCTCTCTATTTAAAATAGCAATACATCAATCATCGACTAATAATATGTACATATATATATATATGTGTACGTAGCAATCAAATAATATCTCTTCATCTCTATTCTCTTTATCAACGATGGCATTCATTCTTTTTTCTAGTTTGTTTGCTCGATCGTTATCAGTTTTACACGATTCACAAAATTAAAATCGATCCATCATAAGAAGAGTTCAATCGACATACTTATAACTATGTCCAAATATATATATATATATGTACAGTCCTTGATACTAGACTCGTCTTATCATGTTTAATTCTATATATCATTATATACGTTAACTGACGGACAAGGTTAGACCGTAATATCTAAATATGTAAGAGATTTATGACAGATGTCAATTTTTCAATGTATCAGACATTTCGCCTTAATCTAGCGTGTCAAGTACTTTCTATTTTTTTCCATATCAGTAACATACTGATCATTTAATTATTACACTAAATAAGTAAATCATAAATAAGAAAGACAGAAAAATGAATATACAAATACATATGTAGTACAATTTTAATTTATGTCTCGTGTCGATGATGATGTTGTTCCGTGAGTATGTGATATTAATTGTATCTATTAGAATGAAACTATCCATCTGCTTGTTAAGAGAAAGATTAGGTCAGCTTGACTTTAATGTTTAAAAGAAGACTTTTATCTTTTTTTTTCTGTATTTCACTACTATCGATCACATGCTGTTCTTATTTTTCATAAATTGAATTTTACGTTTCGATAATTTTTGCATATGTTGTACACATATACATGCTATTCGACAGGTGTTTTGTTCCATTCTTTCTTTTTCTTGTTTTTGTTGTGATTAAAATGAGCTCTTTTTTTTTGTCTATTGATTTTTATTTAACATAGCACGCAAATTTATATCCGTTCGAGATAATTTTCTTTTGTTCTCATCCGAGAATAGCTTGTAACGAGTTGTTCATCAATTGAATCTCTCCTTTTTTTTCCTCTTTTTCTTTTTGTCGTCGTTGTTTAATGAAAGAACGAGAGAGAGAGAGAACGAAGTAAAAGATATAATATTGCTTCTCTCTCTCTCTTGTTCTCTGTTATTCTTCTTGTCTTCATTTCCGAACTAAACAGGTAAATGTGTAGAAAGATGTTCTTCATTCTTACTTGCTCATATTCCATCATCATCATTATATTTTTTTTTTGCTTCATCTTAAATATTTGCGTTTTTTTACTTCCAAGGTGAATATATTGATGTCGGCTGTACTACCGGCATTTTTTTTTCTCTTGCGTAAGTAAGTGGTCGAGCACCACTTTATATATATGTGTGTGTATATATATAGTTCTGCCGTGAAATTAGAGCATATACGCCTTTCACAGAGAACAACAATCATTTCAATGCATAATAGATTTTCTGTCGCGCATTTGTGTTGACGATAATTGTTAGTCGTAAGAATGTCGTTCAATTCCTTTTTGCTCTCTCTCTCTTCGAGACCCCGATTTATATATTGAAGAACGAGATACTTGAGAAGAGTTACTCGTCTTTCTAGCAATAACCTTCTATTGTTTGGAGATGTGTAAACGAAAAAAAAAAAAAGAAAGAAAAGAAAACGATCTTTGCCTATTAGTGTGAACACACACACACACACACATATTAGATGAGCTTCTTGTGTAACCGTCACTAACATTGATAGATTTTGTGGTTAATGCTTAGCAATGAAATAAACACGTTCGAAACCAAAAAAAAAAAAAAAGAGAAAAGAATATAATATGTGTAAATGACATCGAAGACGAAGTGTAATCTATCGATAAAGTTCAATTTAATTGCGTATGTTATTTTTATTATTGTTGTTATTATTCTTACAGACATTTGTACATTATATGTCATTCATCGTTTATGTGAGTATAATCTAAACAAAGAATTCTTTTGATTTCAAAAGCATGAGACGATGATGATGATCATCATCATCAAGGATTCTGATGAGATTTTATTCTTCATGTCAACACTTGATGTGTTTGAAAACAAAACAACGAAAAAGAAAATGATGCATGGATATGATAGATCGTCCATATGAAGATAACGTCTCATCATCACCTTGAGAATGTCTGCCTGTCTATCTGATCGATAATTGTCATCTATATACGCCTCGAGGATCATTCTGTCTTTCTTTTTTTTTGTTTTATTCATGTAGTGATCCTTTTAACTCAATCGATCAATTTTAAAGATTTGAAGTGTACAAACACATATCTCATTCATCTTGACTTTATCATCTATCCCACATACACACTTCTATATGTATTGTTTTTTTTTTGTTCTAATCCTTAAACAGACAAGTTTGTCTATTTGTTTTTTTTTTTAATTTTTCAAATGATATATATATATATTCGTTTTTATTGTTTGATGATAAAATGAAAAAAAAAAAGTGATGAATAGACACACACTCGAATTGATATTATATCATTCTCACGAATATGAATAGTTGAAAGTCGATTGCTTCCGTTTTTATTTCTCTATGTCATTCCTTCTCTTGACCTATTCTTTTGTCTATCATTGTACAGTAGCTATAACGCATTTTAAACTCCAGACATGATAATTTCCCTTGCCTTCTGTATCATTAAAAAAAAAGAGAGAACGCGACAGAGGGAGAACAACTCTTATCTATTTGTCGTCATTGTGAACATTGGTTCGTTTAAATCACTATCATATACTATATCTCAATTATATTCCGCCATGTTACAACAATATTATTTATATGTATAAGTAAAGAGAGCTTTTTTTTTCTTTCCCTGGAGATAGTGCGCTCGACCAACCGCTCTTAAATAGAATGGAATTGAGTATAAGTAGTTACATGGAAAAAAAACTAAATTTATTATGCAATAAATAATGATAGAGTAGAAGAAAATGATAGTACCATCTTCGATTTTTTTTTCTCTCTCTCTTTTTATTCTTCTTCTTCTTAGACTATTCTAGTGCGCATCAGATTTCACTCGTTTTCTTGTATTCTTCGATCTAAATGGACTTTACGTGAATTGATTGTGGACATGCGATAGTATGCCTAAGATATAATTGTTTCCTTCCATTGTCTTTAACAGAATGACATTAGATATGATGACTATAGTCAGACAGACAGACAAAGAGTCAGCACAAGTGCTAAACAAATAGACAAACAAATATGTACTACATAAGCAAACTTTTCTATTTCTTTTTTTTTTTACTAACTTTAAGAATTGAAGAGTCAATTTTTTAAGATTACGTTTTTTTTTTTTTTTCTTTTATATTCTTCATCATCCGTTTCGGACATGCATACTATATTCTTTTCTTCTTTTGATTTGGGACAGTGACTTCCTTCATTATCATTTTCTCTATTATTATAATTAGACTGTCATCTACAGAACATATCATCATTCATAATTTCTTTTTTTTGTTTTATTATTATATAGATTATTAGTTCTCTTTTTTGTTTTTTTCGTTAAACTTACAAGTTAACAAAAAAGAAAAAGAAAACAGAAATCTCTAGCAAGGCTAATCTTCTAATCAAGCTTATAAAATACTCATGACTTAGTACTTCTAATTTTTAATTATCGTTGTCTTTTCCTTTATGTCCTTGATAAGCGTGAGTAATCTGAAAGGTCAGTCAGCACTGAAAACAAAGTTTTCTTTTTTTTTTTGTCTAATTATGACGATAGCCAGTCAGCACGCAAAGGCCACTCATGTCAGTGAACGTTTGGGATGGCTCATCGATCATTCTATACTCTCTTGTCGACACTTGTGTGTGTCGGTCATCAAGGCCATTCATTTATTTTGTTTTTTCTATTTCGTTCATTGACCATCATCTGATAGATGGTAAAAGAAAAAAAAAAGCCGGAAGTTAAAGAGTATGTTCCTGCTAGAATATCAATGAGTCCAATGTGTGTATATATTAATGAGAAAGACGGACACATCTCATTAGTGTGTGGATTGAAATGAATAAACGAAATGACTTCTTTTGACATGTATGTTTATTTGAAAAGATAAACATTTAGTTTTATTCCATTCATTCTTTCTTTCTTTTATATTCCTATCAATCTTTGAATCTTATCAAATGAATATATACGAAACCTACCCTTGTTAGTTAGAGAGTCATCCGTGCGTTGAATAAGACGTCAAGAACTATATGTACATACTTCTCGTTTTTCTTTTTTCTCTTTACCAAATCATCCTTCTAATCTTTTACGCTTACGTTTACGCTTACAAATGCACACATATATTTATATACATATATATATATATATGCTTGGGACGTAAATGAAGTCATTTATCAGGACTCTAACAGCCTTGCGCAATATGACTAGTTGTTTCTCATAACGCATATGTTTAAACATATGAAGCCTATGTAGATCATAATTTCATTTTGAATACATCCTATTCTTGTCTCCCTCCCTCTTTTTTTCGTCTAATCATTTATGCTTGCTTTCTTTCTTAAAATTAAATCTAATCAATACGTCGTCGCTCAGCAGGATGAAATCTATGAGCAATGATGATGTCTGACCTAATGTTGTAAACAGATGAATATTTTATTTGTCTTATATGTATGTTTCAAGGCTATTCATGCTCATTGAACACATACGGAAGGATTGTTATCAGGATGCCATCAATCGTCACAAATATATTTATATAAAACAGGCATGAACAAAAATTTCACACTTGATATAGACAGTGATAAATGGCAAAATAAAATCTTTATCGCATTATTGGATTTTTTTCTCGCACTAACAGACACCTGTCAAGATTGACAATCGATTCTGTTTTTTTTTTCCTTCTTTCCCATACATATTCTTTCTTTTCTTTTCTTCATCGATGTATATATATATATGTATCAATATCTTTCAGATATTTATAATATACATTATTTCTCTTCGAATCAATAGACAAGATTAATATGAGAATAGTTTTATTATTATTCATATTTTATAATGGAATTATTGTTAATTCAATGGAATTGAGTATGTATATTAAACAAATTAATAAATACTAATCATATATTTTGTTTTTCTTTTAGAAAGTATAAATTCATGTCAAATACCACTTATGATTAATTCAAAAATTCTAACTAATAATAATATTGAACAATCAAATAAACAATGGTGTCCATTAATAAATGATAATGAAACATATTTACAAATTACTTTAACAAATTTAACTTATATAACATCTTTAGAAATAAAATCAAAAATATTATTAGATATTAATTATCGTATTGAATATACACGTGAAAATATAATTGATCAAACAACAATATGGCGTTTATATCGTTTATTAAATAATAAACAAGAAAAAATATTTCTTAATCCACCTATAATAGCTAAATATATACGATTAAATATAATACAAATTAAAAAAAATTTATGTATCAATTTTGAATTATTTGGATGTATATTTACAGATGGTGTTGTATCATATAATATGTTACAAGGTTCAAATAAATTTGAAGATGATACATATGATGGACAATATGATGAAAAACAACGTTATTTACATGGTAAGAAAAGAAAAAAGTTATTTTCTTTTAAAAAAAAAAAAAATTTTTTTTTTTGTTTTAAAGATGGTCTTGGTCAATTATCGGATGGACAAACAGGACCTGATAATCATGAAGATGAACGAGGACTTCAATGGGTAAGTTATAAAAAAATCAAAAAGCTTCTTTTTAATCTAATCTGACTTAAATTCAAATTCAACGAATCAATAAGAACTTTCTCATTAAAGTCCGAGATCAGGCACATACCGAAGGGGAGGGAGCCCATGGGCAGGGGCGTAGGGAAGGGGGTGGCTGAGGAGGCTTTAGCCCCCCCTCAGGAGAAAAATTCCCTGAAGGGGAGTACGGGCACATTATTTCCGCCCAGCGGAAAAGGTTTTTTGGCCATGTTCAGCCCCCCCTCAGAAAATTCCTGGCTACGCGCCTGCCCATGGGGTTCGGGTCCCCTCCTCAGGACTGAAGACACCTGTAGGAGGGTACAAGTATACGTTTTTTTCTCAGCAAATTTTTGTAATTTTCCCATGGTCCCCCCTAAGAACTTTGGGCCCTCCCCTCAGGACTCAAGACGCCTGTAGGGGAGTACAGGTATACGTTTTTTCCCATGGTGGCCCCCCTCAGGACTGAAGGCGCCTGTAGGAGGGTACATGTATACTTTTTTCCCAGCAAATTTTTGTAATTTTCCCATGGTGGGCTTCCCCTCCCGCCCTAAGGACTTTGGGCCTTTCCCTCAGAAAATTTCTGGGTACGTGCCTGTTCGAGATCGAATGTTAGTTAAGATATGATCATTAAGAATTTTTGAGTATTAATTTCATCATATTCAAGATATCAAAAAAAAAAAGTCTACTTGAATTTATCGATATTTTATTCAAATAGTGATGTAATCAGTTATTCTTACTAACGATTAAATTTCATTTAAAATTAAACTTTTTGTTTTAATTATAATTATATTATTCAATATTTTTTTTTGTGAATAAATATTAATATATTTCATCTAATAAAAGATTATTTATTGTTGAAAAAAAATTTTTTTTTCGTATAATTTAAAGGTTGGTTGGCGAAAACCACGTTCAATAAAATCAAATCATTCAATAGGAATATTATTTAATTTTGATACATTAAGAAATTTTTCTCGTATGACAATACATGCAAATAATTATTATTTAAAAAATATTTATATATTTCGTTCAATAATAATTGAATTTTTAAATAATAATAATGAATTAATAAATAATTCATCATTTATTATATATCATAATCAACATGATGATCAATATGAAATGGCACGTGCTATAATGATTAATTTAAAAAATAATATTGCATCAAAATTAAAAATTCATTTATTTTTTGATGGAAATATAATATTAATTAGTGAAATAACATTTGATTCATTTATTGTACCAATATTAACAACAACAACAACAACAATTATTCAACAATCATCAATAAAAGAAATAACATATAATTTTTCAATTTATATTATTGTATGTTTATCAACAATGGTTATTATATTATTATTAGCAACTATAATTATACTTATACGACGAACATTAAATGAACATAAAAAATTAAAAAAACATTATTTTACACCAATACATAATCATACTAATTCATCAACATCAACAACATCAAGTGATATGGATTTTCATTTAAATCAACATCGTTATGCAACAATTAATTCAACAACATATCCATATCTAATTTGTACAAATGATAGTATAAATTCTAATACAACACCACATTATGCTAAATTAATACCAACAACAACAACAACATTATTACGAACACCATCATTAATACAACAAAATCATATTGAAGGTATATGTGGTAATAGTTCATTTAGTACACAAAGATTATTTACATTTAATATAAATGATAATCAATTTATATCAATTAATCAAATAAATATTAAAAAAAAATTTGAATTTAATAAACAAATTATTGGTGGTGGTGAAATTTATCAAGGTGAATTACAAATAAATCAATCAATTGTACCAATAACAATACGACGTCTTTTACCAAATGCATCTATACAATCAAAGTAAATTAAAAATACAGTGACTCCCAAAATTATCCGACAAGGTGTAATTTGCGTCTTATTCGGTAACTGTAAGTGCTGAAAGAAATTCAAATAGTGATTTGGATAGAGGAAATTGTTTCCAACACGAATCTGAG